CTGACTTACCTGAACTGCTTTATGACGGTTCTTTATCTCCGAAATGATCCATGGTAACATGGGCTTTGAATAATGACGATCAATTTCAGAATTCCCTCGATACGTCATGTGGAAGGTGTCCCCCACTTCACCCCATCCTCCCACACTGTCTGTGGTGTCCATGGTGAGGTCTGGAGCTCTTCGTCTATTAGTACTTCAATAATTTACTACTTGAAATCAAAAGTTTTGTTAGCAGTCTCCATGTCCATTCCATTGAGGAGATACCTATAAAAGGAAAATAAAAATTACATCAATAAAATAAATGCTATATTTGAAAGCAACTATAACATATTTTCAACATAACTGATGATAATTTTTTTTTTTATAAATCCTCATAAACATCATGAGGTGGTAATCTTAAGCCAATGCCAACAGGCATGGCCTACTGTTTACTTTGTTAATTGTTTTTTACACAGTGGCTACACTTGTACTAGGTCACCAATGAGCCAATTACGAGTACTGTCTGTCTCTTATTTTGCTGTTACTAATGTTTATAACATTACAGTAATTATAATGTCTATAATAAAAATAACACCATCGATATTTATAGTCCTAGTAAAAATATTTTTTTTCCACCAATTCAAGGAAAGTTGAAATCAGGCAAGGTCCCAAGGTCTACTAATTGACTCCTTTGTAGCTACATTTCACAAAAAAAAAAAAAAAATGAAATGAGCACAGCATTTTCCCTGTTAGTATGTGGTTAATGTACATAAATTTTTCATATGTGATCCTGCATTGGTCTTATATTTTCCATCTTTACTTTACTTTAGTGTCATTACATTTTTTCCCATAAATTTTTCATATGTGATCCTGCATTGGTCTTATATTTTCCATCTTTACTTTACTTTAGTGTCATTACATTTTTTCCCAGTTTCCATATTCATATCAAATTCTCAATCTATAACTTTACTTTTCAAATCAGCTTTAGAAAAAAGATCTTTAAAAAAATCCACATTTCATGGATTTAATTTACTCAATCACAAATATCTGAAATTACAGCATTTGTTTAAACAAATCAAGTCACTTTTGTTACTTTATATAAGACTTTATCATGACTCAGGAAATAAGCCTAAAAAGGCCTGCACTATAGAATTAGTACATAATTTTCTCCATAACTCTGATATTAGTGATAACTCTTACACAGTAATTCACATCTAATGAGACTATTAAGTTGAAACTTTTCACAAATAAGAATACAGTCAATAAACATGTAATGTAAGATATTCTTTCTATTGCTTAACAAGACAGTTGCGAATTAATTAATATGGTACAGCATTCCCAGTGGAAAACAACTTTAATCATACTAATGGAATCAAAACTTTATACTGAAAAGAAAATTTAACTGTACAGAAATCTAAATAAAAATGTTTTATAAATACATTTGTACTCTCCACTGCATCTGTTATGCAGAATTAAGTCAAGGCATAGAAGAACTTGTAATTAACAATATAAACAGTCATCAAAGGGTATTAGACAGAATTCAGAATTACAAAATACAAGAAGAAATACTAGTAAGATCACAAAATTTGAAAGACTGATGAAATTAATAACACTACTCCACAATCTTTACCAAAACGACTTAACCTTGCTTTCTTGCCTTCTCTTAGCCTGGTCCTTGCTTTTGCCAGTCCTATTATCATAAACCTTTAGTCATAACACTTGGAAATGGAAAATTACCTGATATAAAACCAACTGAAGTACGGACTAAAACATAAAATTTCAATTAATTGTGAAATTACAAGTAAACCATAGCATATCCTAAGGATAAAAAATACTAAACAAGGTTCATAAGCTCCTCATAAAACTTAGAAAAATTGAACATGAAAGAGCAATCTGGCCAGACATACCAAATAAAGATGTTCCAACAATCATCTCCTGTTGGCATTAAATGTAATTTAATACCAGTATCACTATTCATTCACGGTCCATGAATCACCACAATTATTATTATGATATAATAGCCAACCTCCTTTTGAATCAATAGAAAGCATTTCCTCTCCTTCACCTGTTACTAAGGAGGCTCAAGGTATCAAACGGAATATTATAATTACTGTTAACTATCATACTCCTCTTGCAACGAGGACAAGGTGATTATAACAACGTCTCTAATCACATGTTATTAGCAGGTGTTCTACTATAGTCACAACACAATAAATCAATGGGTAATAAGTAAGATATAAGAAAGATAAGAAGAAAATTGCGCGTTAAGAACATGCAGGTTGGTCACTTGTGTTCGCCCTGAAACCTCCTTTATTTTTAGTTTATTGACCTTAGCATCTGTGCATAATTAACACCTCGTCACCAACCTCCTTTTCCCGTTCATTGACACGGCAAATCAAGCCTCCTTCATGAACCAAGAGCCCTGTGGGATGTCTTTTTTCACATAAAGCTCTTATTTTTGTCTCAGCTCGTCTCAGCCTTGACGACCAATGCAAAACAAGATCATAAGGTTTACTCAACT